GAGAGAGAGAGAGAGAGAGAGAGAGAGAGAGAGAGAGAGAGAGAGAGACTAATGCATCTTATTATCCTTATACTTTTAATGGATCTATTGTATTCGGTGTTTGGCCAATTTCCACATTCATTATCAACCAACATCATCATGATGACCTTACATAATGTATATATGTGAGGATATCCATCAATATGATATCTATACAATCATCAAATTGATATTGTCACTTAATGTTTTTTTGTTTTGTTTTGTCACCCATTTAACCATAACTATACTATAGTAGTAAGATGATCGCATAGACGACACCTTTTTTCTCTCTCTTAAATTAACCGCCAGACCATAAGGAACTGCCGACTATTGTCGATGAATAATGTTGTTGTTTTTTAATCGATTATCGATTGTTAACAACAGCAACATTTCGATCTTTTCATAACACGTGCTTGTCCAGGTGAAAAACAAGAAGAAATTTCGGCTCCTAATGGATATCGGCATTTTTTCTTTCTTTTTTCGTTGTTTCGTTTTGAGTTTTTTTTTTCTTCTCGATCCGGATTCGATAGACCAGAAATAAAAAGCTTTTCACTTACCAAATCAATCAGCCAGACACACACATATAACAAAAACAACAACAGAAAAAAAACATCCTTAAAAATGGGCGGCCAATGGCGGCGTGAGAAAGCCAATGTCCATTTGTTTATTTTACACTTGGTTGATTACGTTTTGTTGTTGTTTTTAGTTCTTTCTTCATCATCATCATCATCATTTTTTTCAACTAAAAGAAAATGTTTATGTTTGCCGCAACAAACAACAAAAAAAAATCTTTATTCTTTTGTCGTTGTTTGATGAACTGAACTGGATTTCGTTTTTGTTTGTTGTTGCAAAATTTTCCATTCTTCCATTTTCAGCAAACACACAAGAAACACCAAAGAAAGAGATTTTTACCTGCAATTTAGATGTAGCAATTTAATGTAGCGAAAACTGATTTTACCGATTAATGGATCCTATGATCCTATTTTTTTGTTGTTGGATTTTTTCCATCATTGGATCTGATCTGCAAAATAACCAGAAAATATGGCCCAACCAAACAAAAACATTTGTTTGTTTAATCTAATGGGTTTTTTTGTTGTTGTTGTTGTTGTTGGATAATTTCTAAAGTTTTTCCCGTTAAAATCAACTTGAGTTTTCTCTCTTTTTAACTCTCTGAAACTTTAATCATCATCATCATCATCACATTCACATCATCATCGACATTGATATAGTCATAGACTAATTATTCCTAAGGGAAAAAAAGGCAAGCGAAAAGTTTTTTTTTCGGTCCACATTCATTTTCTCGGTAATATTCAGAATCCTCCTGTGACTTTTTTTTTCGTAGTCGTCCGATTAGTTGATTCAAACGATGATGATGATGATGAAAAAAAATCAAAAGTCGGTTTGGAAACGGAAAAAAAGATCCATCCATTCATTCTTTCATTCATTCATTTTTTTCACTTTTCAAGGTGATAACGTCATTATCCAATCGAGAATAATTTTTCTCCTCATTGTCCGGCTTTAATCCTCCCTTTACTAATCGATCTTTGGCTTAAATTGATGACAAAATTTTCTCTCTCGTTATTGACTGGTGACAAAACGTGTGTCTGTGTTGTTGATGAAAAGAGATTCTCGACTCGATTAATAAAACTTTAATTCGTAAAAATATTTGTCACATTAAGCGTGTGCGCGTGTGTGTCAAACTAAATCCTTAATATTCAAAAAGAGTTGTTTACAAAATGGCAATCGAGAATCAAAGAATTTAGTTTTTTTTATATAAACAAAAAAAAATTCTCAATATGACGTGTGCCACAGATTTATTTCAACTCAATTAGATAGATTAAAATCTCTCTCTCTCTCTCTCTCCCTTGCTCGCTTGCAATTCTTTCAATTTTCTCCACAATATTGATTTGGATCAAGATTTGGATCATGGAATTTTTGATGATGGTTGATTGTTGTTGTTGTTGTTATTTTGAAAATCAAAAAAAACTATAGGGAAAAAAATAAAAATAAAAATCCTTAATGGATACGCACACTGCAGATGTTTTGTTTCCCATTCAACCATTCATTCATCTATGATCCATCTTCCCCCGGGTCTGTTTCTGAAACAAGGCAGAAAGAAAAAAAATGCCTCTTGAGATCTATGAAAGATCTATGTGCTCGATGGCTCGATGTTTGCATCTCTCCATATTTTTTTGTTGTTGTTCCTATTTCGATCCATTGATTACAACATACACACGTCTTATCTTTTACCACTTATCTCTCTCCAACGAAAAAAAAATCTCAAACAGTGATTTTTATATATATTTTTCATCATCATCATCATCATGTTAACAGCATACATACAACTAGCCACTGCACAAATAGAAAGACAGATGGTATTTTTATATATAAAAAAAATCAATGATAATGGTTACGATCTGTTCGTATACGAGAGTGTGGATATGTTTGCTCTTTTTTTCTTTCCATCCTAATTTCTTTTCCGGAAAATTTTCCGAATCAAAAAAAACGAAAAACGAATTTTTACCTTTTTTTTAATTCAAAAATTGACGTTGATATTGATAATTTTCTGCAATTTTTCGAAATTATTCACTTGTCATGTTTGATGGATCCATGTTTTTTTGTTTTTCCTCTGTATAATTATTATGAAAATCTTTTTTTTAAGCTTTATCCAATATGGGTGTATATAATTCTTGTCGTTCCTGTTCATATTCTGAAATTTTTTTTCTTTGCTCGTTTGTTCCGGTTTTGATCATGTATAATAGTCGGAATATTCGGAAATAGACACGTGTCGGCTACTGTATGTGAAAACCAATTTTTTTTTTGGTTTATTTTCCAAGCAAACAATGATGATATGAAAAGACACGTGTCGCACGTAGTACATTGTATGGCAACGGCGGAACACAATAACGATGATAATATGTTCACTATGAGTAATTGATACCTTCAAAGTTTTCTTTCAAATTCTTTTTTTTCATTGCAATAAAAAGAATTTCTTACAGAATTTAGAAAAAAAATATTCTAGCCATGTGTGTTTTGACATGCGTGATGAATCACAACCATATTGTTTTTATTATGTTGTTTTTAGTCGAATTTAAAAACAAAACAAAAACTGACAAACTTCAAGAATAATATGATTATATATTTCTCCAACATGAAAAAGGAGGATATTCTGTTTTTTTTTGTTTTTGTTTCTAATGTAGCGTTATGCACACATTATCATCATCATCATACACGTGCCCGATGAATTGTGTGTGTGTGTGATACGGGGTGCTCCCGAAAATTTTTTGACGTCTTCGGATACACGCGTGTTTCTATTATTATTATTATTATCATCCACTCGAAATGGTGAAATGAATAAAAATTATCGACAAATTGCTTGCTTGCTTGCTTGCTTGCCTGCCTGCCAAAAAATTCATTTTTATTTCGGTAATATTTTTCGTAAGAAATTTCCCAAAAAAATTTTTCTCTCCCTGTCCATTTCAAGGTAACTATGATCATCATTATCAATTTGTGGTTTTTTTTGGTGAATGATGATGGTCACGTGTTTGAAAGTCGAGTGAATCAAATGAGAAAAAACCAGAAAAAAAACAATCAAACTAATTAAATTACACATTGTGTGTTTGTGTGCTTGTGTGAATTATGTAATATTTCTTTTTTGTTTTCTAACATTTGTTTCTTGTTTGTTTTTTTGTTTTCAAAAAAAACCAGGATGGTCGACAATTAAATATTGGACAAATGCGTGGTGTACCATTGATAGCAACATCACCTGTACGACATGAAAGTCCATTACAAATGACAACAACACCAATCGATGTACATAGTTATCAACCACCATGGAAAGCATTAGCCGATTATGCATCAATGCAAACTGATTTAGATCCAAATGCAGCACAATTTCAACATCTTGTATCACAGGTAAATCAACTTTAGATGTTTGATATATTTTTTTTCCTCCAAAATTCAATTTGTTCACTGTGTGTGTGTGTATGTATGTGTATGGATGAGGATGCGTAATTCTGATTCTTCGAAGCCAAAAAAAAAACCGAAGAAACCTTTTTTTTCTGAACCTATAAGAACAACAACAACAAAAAAGAAGAAGTGATTTTTTTTCTTCTTCAGACAACCAAAAACAACCAAACATTTTTACTATAGACGTATGGGGAGACCCTCCTCTTTTCTAGAGTTTTAGCCAACACTATGTGTGTATTTTGTGTACACATAAGAAATGTTGTTTGGAAAACTAACTTTCGGTCGCTACTTCCACCATACTTTGTGTCAAGGCACCCAAAAAAAATCTAGTTTGAAGTGTGTTGGTGTTGGTTTTGGTGAAGATATTCTTTTGACAAGGGTGAAGAGTTGATGTTCTTAATGATGATGATGGCAACCCTTGCTGAAAAAAAAAGTTTTCTGCTACAAAAATATCGATCTTTTTTTAGAAATTTTTTTTTTCCTGTTTTGAAAGTTTTTTTTCCTATGCAACCCGAAATTTTTTTGGGCATCCAAAAATTTGATCATAATCGTGAATGAAATATGAGGCCCGATGATAATCTTGATCGATGATCGATCGATCGGATCGATGAAAGAGAGAGAGAAAAAAGTGGAGGTGGTTGTTGTTTTTCATCAAATGGCAAAGCCAAAGTAATCAATAATTATTGAATGAATTGAATTTCAATTTTTCTTTCTTTTTCTTCTTCTTTTTTTCAAAAAAAACCATTTTAGATGCATGGATACAATGATGTTAATGGTGGTGGTGGAATGAATACATCAAATGATACATGTTTATCATCAATGGGTCATAATAGTGGTATTGCTACTGGACCTTGTACACCAATGTCCTATCTAGGTAAGTTGATATTTTTGTTTGTAAAAATAAAACAGAATTCGCCCTGGAAACACACATTACTTTTATTCATTGAATTTTGTTTTTCCCAACAAAAAAAAATATAGCCGAACAAGATATACATCAACCACCTAGCAACGTGTCATCCGATCTATCAAGTCCATGTACCAGTGATTAAAAAAAAACGCTACATTGAAATTTCTGTAAATAATAAAAATCATCATCAAAGATGGATTGTTTGTATCTCTGATTCCATAGGATGGATGAATGGATTTACAGGATGAGATTACCCCATTATTACGATTTGTATATTGAACTCTTTTTTTTTGCATTTTTTTTCATGAACAAAAACCTATATTTCGATACCATACATACCATACATACCATACATAAAGATCATTTACTTTGATTTTCTTTCTCTCTCTATCACTCACTTTGTATTATATTTGATTCATTTAATTTTCAATGATTATCATCAACGTCCAGATCAACAATGTTATTCAATGATAGTTTGTTTTTTTTTTTGATCTACAAACACAAACACACTAATTTTTCTCTTTTTCCCCCTTCAAATTACACTAAACTTCTTGTTCCTTTGGTTTGTTTAATTATTAATTTCTATACAAAACATTATGATCCAAAAAAGAAAACCATTTCAAAACTCAGAAATTTTGAAAAATAAAATTTTTTTTGCCCGAAAATATCCATGTCAAGTGTGTTTGACATTCATTCATTCATTCATTCGTCATCAATCAATCATTTGATAAATGTTTTCATTCGTTTTTATGGATCTTTCCGTGTTGAAATTTGTTTGTTTTTTTGTTTTTTTGTTTCGTCATCTTCCTCCTTTACACAACGTCAACCAAACAAACAAACAACCGACCGACCGATCATCATCATTATTCCAAGCACGTAAGTTCCAAACTTGACCAACAACCAGCAACAAAATTTCAATGATAACAATGAATGAATGAATGAAAAAGATTCGTAACGTTTAGTTTTTCTCCAAAAAAATAGATGAAAAGAAAAGAAAAGCAAAGAAATACAGAAGAGATACCGAGATAATTGGATGTTTATTCAATTCAAACACATAGAAAAGTTTCATTCGATTCTTACAATCTTTAGAAAAATGTTTAGATCCAGATTTCTCAATACAATTTCTTTTTTATTGACTTAACCTGTGTTTATGCTTGCCTCATGGTCAATCGAGTGTTCTATCTTTCTCTTTCTCTGTTGACGTACACACACGTGGCTAATGGCCAAACAAATCATCCATCCATCCATCCATCCATTTGACAAACAAAGCAAAATATTTGAATGAAATGCAAAGTTTTCCAGAGAAAAACAAATCCAAACAGATCAATATCAAAAACAAATTCCCTTAAGAGCTAAATCGATCCAAAGAAAGAAAAACATTTTTTCGTTCATTTTCGATTTGTTGCATTTCCTGTCATCGCAAAACATCTTTTTTTTTGCTGCATTGGATAACACAGTACAGTCTTGATTTTTTTTGTGTGTTTGTGTGTAAATTTGTTTGAATGCATTGCCATTTCTCTTGGGCAATAGTCTTTCTACTCAATCACCGTAACTGGAAATGAAATGAAATGAAAAATAAAGCCATCATCAATTCTGGCCATACTGCCAACTAAGAATAGAATCTCTAATGGGAATTGTCTACATTCTCTCTCTCTTTCTCTCTCCTGGTACATCATACTATTGTCCAATTGACTTTGCCGGTGATTTTTCACTTTGAAAAAAAGAGAGAAAAAGATTCACATTTTTGAATAGGGATGCCTAATAAAATTGAATCAGAATTTTGTTTGCTTGCTTGAATGATTGATTGATTGATTGAAAGTGAAGAAGAAAAAAAACTTGTGATTTTGTTGATGATGATGATGACATTCTGTTCATCTTAATCATTTTATTTTTGCAAAAGAATAGCCGACCGACAAATCAAATCAGTACACACACACACACACGTACTTTATGTTTGGCGCCAGACGGGCGCATATTTCCTATTCAAATACACACACTCTCTCACACTTTTTTATATATTTAATTTGATTTGATTTCGAACCTTTTTTTTCTTCTTCTGACTGTGGTAATAATGATCAAAAATGATGATAGCCAAAGAAAAAAATGTGAAAGAAAGTATAGTTGAAAAAGAAAATGGAGCCATAAAACAATCACCAATCACTGATAATCGTTCTCCAAAGCAAGAAAGAAGAAGAAAAAACTTTCATCGTCGTCGTCGTCGACGTCTTTCTTTCATCAGTGAATACACGCGAATAGACTGTGTCTATGTTGAATTCTTGATGATTGTTCATGATATTGGATGTTCAATGTGCGACCTTGGTCATCATCACCGTTTTATGACCAGGGCCAATCAAGTTCAAGTTTTGTTTCCATTTTCTTCATTGATTCAATGGAAAAATTGATTTCCCAGTAACAACAACAAAAAATAGTGAACCCTTTTTTTTTGTGACCAAAAACAGTTATCATCATCATTCAAAAGTTACAAAAGTCATTGGTGGTGGTCGTTATCGTCGTTGTCGTCGTCGTCTTGTTGTCATATTGTGCAAGTCAAATTCTAAAAATATGAAAAAAATAAAGAAAGACCCAGTAGTAAAGACACAATCCTATCAACGATATACTCTTAATTTGGTTCTCATATTTCGTGTGTCTGGCTTGTTTTCAATTTTTGAACCAAAAAAAAAATTTACAATTCTTCCTTTTGCTTTTTTTGGCTTGGTGTTTGTTTTTAGGTCTAGTCAGATTGTCGTTAGATCTTTATGACTTTTTTTTGTTGATTTTGATAGCCAAAAAGTCATCATCACCATCTTCATCGTCGTAGAAAAAAAAAGTTTATCGTGCATCTTGATTTCACTGTATACACATTGAAAGATTGGGTTTTAGATTTCTGACAAGATGCACACACACACACACACACACCAACCAAAAACACATTATTTGACCTTTTTTTTCTTTCCTACTTCTTCTTTAGTTCTGTTACCAATTGCCCAATTTGCCGCCAATTCATTCAGCTACCAAGTTCTTCGGTAAAATCTTCAAAAGATCAATGTCGATGGCGGTGGCGGCAACTAGTCCTAATTTGAGGAGTATTATTATTTGCTTCTTTTTCTTCTTCTTTGTTGGACCATTGCCTAATGTGTTATTGATGCCCAAAACAACAACAACAACAACAACATAATGTCTCTTTCATTCATTGATTCATCAAGATGGTGTCATCATCATCATGATCATTGAACGTCGCCACTTTATCTTTAACCTTTGAGCTTAGACCCCTGTTATCGCCTTTATTTCGACTAGATTCAATAGATAGATAGATAGATAGTAGGCAGTTGTTTGTTTGTTTGTTTGTTTGTTTGACTAAATAAATAAATAAATATTGCTGATGTAAATCTTAATGTAGATTTGGAAAAATTGGCTAATTGGCTTTATGATTTTTTGGGTTTTTGGAATCAATCACATTACAGATTGCCCAAAATAATATCATTTTTGATATGATGAATTGAATTGATGGCCATTTTCCTGGCCTGCGAAACAACATACGATTTCATGTTTAGATAATTTTTTGTTTGTTTGGTTGGTTGACATTTAAATGGATGCGGCGCATATTTAACATCAAACAAACACAGAAAACTTGAAATATTTTTGATTGTCCATATTGAACACATTGAAGAATTTAGGAAGGAAAAAAAAATTTGGTGGACACCTTACTTTAGGATCAATGACGAAACAAAAAAAGGTCATAGTTTAATGGTGTTATTCGATAAGAATATCGTGTGTTTGTTTTTTTTCTGGATGTCATCCACACCAAATATTTTCCATTAAGATTTCTCTCTTGTTTCGTTTATGAATGATTTGTATCGGCTGCTGTTGTTGTTGTTGGCCGTAAGCGATCAAAAATCAATGATAAAACACACACATACCATACAGCATCGATAACAATTATGAAACAATTTTCTTTCTTCACAAATCATCCAATAATGTAATCCAAATGGCATGCCAATCATTTCAATCAATCAAGGTAACCATCATCATCGTTTGTTTTTCCTTGATGTTTATCATCGTCATCGACATGGACATTATATTTATTTAACTTGTGTCCACCAATCATATCTTGATCGTTTTTTTGTTTTTGTTTGTTTTTGTTTTTCACCCAGAAAAATAAATTTCTTTTTTCTCGCTTATTGATATTTACATTTTTTTTTTATTCAAAAAAAAACTTACAATTTTTTTCCGCAGAATCAGCAAAATTCTTTCTGCCTAAAAATGAATGACATCGATTGAAAAATATAGGATCCGGATTCAAACATTCGACTACGACGACAACGACAAGGACGACTACTATCGATTATTATCGATACAATCGATAAATCATTCCACCATTGATCAGAAATGAATGAAAAAAAAACCATTGAAAATTAAGTTTTTTTTTTTGTTTTCTAAAACTAAAATTCACTCAGTTCCATTAGCATGACCTTACGATTTCCTTCCGTAGTTATTATTTCGAAATGAATCTACGAATTTCGGCCAACAACAAAAACAAAACAAAAACAAAACGGAACCGATCTGCCGATGGCACGAACCAACCAACAAAACAGAAATGAAACGGTTAGAAAAATGAATTGCGTGCCATCAAATTTTCCATTTCCATTTCTTCCATCATCATCATCATCATCATCATCATCATGATCATATGAGCGCCTTTCACTTATAAAAGTCCATTAAAGCCAATAAATTCTTTGGTTGCTTGCTTGCATGCTTGCTGCTGATATCTTACCAAATGTTGTTGTTGTTGTTGTCATCCATATTTTTCATCTGATGTATAGCTGTGTATGTCAATCAATGTATTCGGCAACTTGTATATTTTGTAAAATCAGAATGTTTTTTTTGATAAATGAAAGAAGGAGAACATCATCCTCCGCCTTTTTTTCGTTGTTGTTGTTGTTGTGAAGTTTTCGTTCTTGAATCCATTTTTATCCATTCAATACGACGATTCCTTCGATGTGATCCCAGACCATCATCATCATCAGTTTTTTTGGCTAATAAACATCATGATGATGATTGCCTTGAAAGCCTGACAGCCTGACTACACTGTATACTGAGAAAATGTGGATTGAAAAAAAAATAAAACGAAAGCGAACGAAAGAAATATATATTTTAAAATTGAAAAACAAAAAATGTTTTTTAAAAGCCTATGTGTCAAATCGGGATGTTCTGGCTTTTTCGTTTCGTTTCGTTTTTTTCGTTTCTCGAAC